TTCGGTCAAGAATGACTTCTGATCCTCTTATTCGTGATATTAAGGAAAATCCTTCAAAATCTCATGATACTTCTAAGTTTGAATTCAAGAAGAATCTACTATATTTTGAAGAACGCCTATATGTTCTAGAAGCACCATGACTATGCTTACGTGTTCTTCAAGCTTGTCATGACTTTTCGGCTGTAGGACATTTTTAGTACAATAAAACTTTGAAACTAATATCCAATGACTTTTGGTGGCTCCAAATGTGAAAAGCAGTTAAAGATTTTGTACAATCTTGTGATGTTTGTTCGAGATCAAAAACTCCTCGTCATCGACCTTTTGGACTTCTTCAGCCATTATCCATTCTAGAACAACCATGGTCTTTAGTTTCTATGGACTTCATCATAGATCTTCCAATCTCAAATTCTTATGACTCTATATTCGTGATAGTAGATCATTTTACCAAGATGGCACATTTTGTACTATGTATAAAATCTATCACAAGTGAAGAAATAGCTAAGCTCTTTCTTGATAATATCTATCACTATCATGGATTACCCAAGGATATCATATTAGATAGGGGAACTCAATTTGTATCAAGATTTTGGCTGACTCTTTTCAAGATTCTAAAAGTGGATATAAAATTATCTTTGGTATTCCATCCTCAAACTGATGGACAAACAGAGCGTGTTAATCAAGTTTTAAAGCAGTATTTAAGATATACCATTAACTACCAACAAGATGATTGGACAACTCTTTTGCCATTAGCAGAGTTTGCTTACAATAACATAGTACATTCTTCTACAAAACAAACACCTTTCTTTGCTAATTATGGTTATCATCCATGACTTGATACTTTTGACTTTTCAAAAGTTGATAATCCTACTCCAAAAGATTTGACGATTCATTTGTCAGAGCTACATGCAACGATGAAGGCGCAATTAAAAGAGGCTCAAGAACAACAAAAGGTCAATGCAGATGTCTATCGAAAGGAACAACCATCATTCGTCTTGGGTGATAAAGTATGGTTACTTCGTCGTAATATCAAGACCGCTCATCCTTGTGACAAGTTGGACTATCAAAGGCTTGGACCATTTTTTATTTCTACACAAATCAATCCAGTTGCATATCATTTACACCTATCGGAGTCAATAAAAATCTATCCAATATTCCACGTGTCTCTTCTTGAATCATACAAGACAGTGGACATACTAAGAAGAAGACAAGCTCCACCTCCTCCTATAGAAGTAGACAATAATTAAGAGTTTGAAGTGGAAGAAGTCTTAGATTCAAGGCGGCGCCGAAATAAATTAGAATATCTTGTCCATTGGCACGGATATGATATTAGTGAATACACATGGGAGCTAGTAAAGAATCTTGCAAATACAGCAAAGGCGGTGGAGGCTTTTCATTGATGACATCCATCAAAATCAAGATGAAAACCTTCTTTATAAAAGAAACAAGATCTAGACAAGATATCATTTTACTTTCAATCCTTGTTTGTAGATTCTTTGTAGTTGTGACGCTCGAGAGATGGAGAACCAACAACTAGTGGATTCGACTCAAGAGCCTTCGTTTACTGACCTGTCAGATGAGACATTACGATTGTCTCAACCTTCAAGACGATGCAATCAAGATGAAGATCTTCAAGAATAACATGTTCTTCCTCAAATAGATGGCGAAATACAACACGTTCGGTATCACGACCTTGGAAGAGACTCCCGATGTTTGGTGATTTTACTACAGATAGAAACAACTCTTGATGGTATTCCAAATATTTTATTCAAAGGAAGTTATGAAGGCCTCAACAATGATCAAATAATTGGGTGGTCTTCCCGCCCTTGTATAGGACACTACCGATGGTTGAGAGGCCCTATCAATCATCTTCAAAGAGAACAAAAATCAGAGTATGTGGTGAATACAATTCATCACATCATAGATTTCCTCAAGATATGATTACAGCTCCTCATGGAACTCGTCCCTAGAAGAGAGGATAATATCATGGACATACACATGTAAACCAATAATTACATGTATAAATAGGTAGAAATAAGTAAAAGTAAGTAAAAATAAGTTAATTCTATAGTATTTGATATGGAAGCTTCTTAGAAGCTTTAGAGATGCTGCTTTGACTTTATATGTATCTTCAATTGACTTTTTGGATTAAAAACGTGGTCAACAAGTTGGCCATGTGCCACATGTGTTGTTAGCTTGAAGACCAAGCTAACTATATGGCCCCCACATAGAAAAAACTTGCCTTGTAAGTCAAGGCATGTGTCCTACAAAATCAACACATATTGGAGGTCCTATAAAACGTCGCCACGTTGCCCCTAGTTAGATAGTATATATTGAAACAAGAGTGAAGCCTTCTTCATTCTTGTCAACTCCATTCTTGCTTTCATTCTTGTTTCAAGAGTCTCTAATTTTCTTGTATTTTGACAATAGCCATTCCAGTTTCTTTTTTAATATACATATCAACTTATTTCTATTTTGTCATCTTTCTTTGAAAGAAGTTTCACTTGTTTATTTGTCTTTATTATGTTCTTATTTTTGACAAATACTAATGATAGAAAAGAGTGAAGAAATTCAAACCTCGTCAATATAAAGGAACTTATTGAGATGAATGAATAAGAATACATAAGAATCATTGTCGATGAACCTTTATAATAAAACTAATACAGTAGTGGCAGTATGAGGTATATAATATAGTATGTAATATATAAGTATGTTATTAAATCATAGATGTAACATTTCATGGTGTAAAGATGTGTCCATTAAAATAATGACTCTTGGTCTAATATATAAAGATGTATTGGTAAATCTAAATCAATAATAACAAAATACATTATGTAATTCTAACAATATTGAATATTAGTGCAAACAAATATCTTCTATCAATTGTAAAAAAGAAGTTTGGCTAAGTAAAATGTGATTTAATGAAACATGCCTTATACATTTAGGCATGTTGTTCTTGCATAATATCCCATAGATGTTGAGCATTATATGATTGTCGACCACACAAAGGTCTTCTTTTTTCAATTCTTTTTTGTTAGGTATCACATAACATATCTCATACATTACTTTAAATTAGTTCCTTTCACAACAATTTATCTCTTCACCTTGCCTCTTTCATGTGATATGCAATGGCTATAGCCTTCTTGATTTGCATAGTTCTTGGATGTGAAACAAAAACCATGAACCTTTCAAACCTGAGTCTACTTCTATGATGCATCATTTTTGGTTTAAATCTAGCAATTACATGTTAGGAAGCTTTCGTTTTGTTGATTTGTATTGTTGGGGGGACAATGCACTTTAAAAACATGAATCTATATTACTATGCAATGCTTGATCTTATAGACATAATTCTTATTTGAAACATGCACAAGGTCTTTTATTCCCAGCATTAGTATTGTTTTCTTGTACTTTTGTATGATAATTAGATTTGATCTTATCCAAGAAGCACCAACAACTATTACTCTAAGATTGTCTTGCAAGGTGGGTGATTTGGTGAAGTATAAAGTGATATTTTGAAATATCACAGGATAGTTCACGGGTGAAATATCACCCAAAAAGGCCAAGTGTGAATCCCCTTAATGGTGGATCAGTAGAATCCGTAGATGTGCAGGGATAATCAAATTGGTTATACAAGTGATCTGTAAAGAATCGTTCCTACTAAATGAGAAGGAACTTTCAAGTCAGTTTACCATATATTTTGGAGGTTTGACCAAACCAAGTTGATTTTTCCTGTTTTGGGGGTTTATTTTGATCTTCTTGCAAAGTGGAAGGTCAAAGGTTTGAAGACTCTCACACCACTGCTGATACCTGATTTAGTATTTCCAAGGTATAGCTGATAAGTGCACACTCTTGAGTGTGCACTTTATTGAAATACCATGATCTTATATAGAAAGTCCTCCCGTTCGTAGCTTAAATTATGTCATTCAATGCAGATTAATCTCCACTGATTGTCAATCCCAAGCCAAAATGATGGACTTATGTATCATCAGTGCATTTGTTGTTGGATTCTGCCTTACGACATTCATCTATGTCCACATCTTCATTCAAAAAATAATGGAAGTGGGTGAGTGGTCCAACAAAAAATATTATTGTTTTAATTACAAAAATGATTACTTGTTCAAGTCTGCATTATTTCTATTTAGTTTCGGGGTGTTTCAGTTTTGAATTTCTCAAAAGTGATGTTTCCATACATGCCACCACAAACTCTTGGTATATTTGAAAAACATCACAAGAACATACTATTATTTCTCATGATTCAGGACGAAAAGGATTATGAACTTGTGAAGGTAGACGAACATCTACTCACCCAAGATTTCCAACCAAATTTCTGCTAATTACCTTAACTACAATATATAATATTTTTTTGTATTTATTAAAAAATTCTCGGAGAAGATATCTTGTTTCGAGTAATGAGTTAATTCAAATAACCAATCACCATGCCTACGTGGACATTCTCATATGATTAACAATGACTCCAACAATTAATGAAAACCTGTCAAAGTGGCTAAGAAGATTTGTTACGAAGACAGAGCCGGATACGTTTCCTAAGAAGAGCAAAATTAAATATCACACCCCAATTTTGTCGTATTCTGTTCCCCACGCTCCCTTGAGGAAGGACGTTCCCAATCATGCTCGGGGGGTCCCACACAATCCTCTGTGGAGGTCCTTCTGTACACCCGGCCCGTCCCCACGCGACCCGGGCATGGCGTTGACTGATGAGGAAGTGTGCAGCCGCACGAGCGGCGATGGTGGAGAAGGCACCCATTCATCGTTGCAAGCATTTTGCGAAAAGCATCGAATGACGAGGCGTAGCTTCTTCTCCCTTCACTTGTCCAACTCGATTCCTTCCTCTCTCTCTATTGCTTTTATCATAGGATTTTTCTGTTCCATCCGTTTTTTTTCTCTTTTTATTATCGTTGTTTCTGTTTTTTCTTTTCTTTTCTTTTCCTTTTTTTTTTTTTTTTTTTTTTTTTTTCGCTACAAAGGTTAGGACGCTGTCACTGCTGCGCCACACACCTCGTGCCTTTGCTGCCCCTCCTCATTGCCGGGATTTGATGCTTAAGCTCGGGGTTCGATCAGCTCGATGAACGAGTTGGAGTTAGCTTTTGTAGTGGTGTGGTGAAGTTGATCATTTGTATACTTCGGAGTTAGGTGACGAAGAGAGTCTCGGAGGGACGACACGATTTTATTTTATTTCTTAATTTGTTCGTGCGTGTACCAAAGGGTGGAAGGAGTAGTTGCCGATTTATTCATGGAGGAACACAGCTTTGTTGTTACATGGATTGTGCCGCTACCGGTATAGTTGGAAAGTTGGTTGTACGAGTTGCAGAGCACGAGGGAGTGTACAGAGTGGTGGAGGAAATCGTAATTTGGACTTTGGGGGGCTTATGTTCGGTTTAGTCGGTTTTAGTTTGTGATCCGTCGTTAAGAACCAAAAAGGGAATGGAGAAGATGAAGAGGATGAAAGGTTTAAGAATAGCGCTGCTTGCGGCGGCGGTGATGCTCGCAGTGGAGCTCGTTTCCGGAAATTTTGTGGTGGAAGAGAATAGCTTAGCTGTTATGTCTCCCGAGAGTTTGAAGGGGACGTATCGCAGCGCTATCGGTAACTTTGGAGTCCCAAAATATGGTGGTACGCTGTCAGGGGTGGTCATTTATCCAACTGTGAACATGAAAGGCTGTGGAAAATTCCCTCATGATCATTTTCGATCGAATTCCGGCGAACGTCCTAAATTCGCACTTATTGATCGCGGCGGTAACGTTGCCTGTCCTTTCTCCGTGTCTCACTTAGGAATTCATTTTCCAAGTCATTGATCTCAGCAAGAGGTGGTATTCAATTGCAATCCTGTCGGTAATGATGATGCTCTGTCACTGTTGGTTGCAATTGATCATCGGACTTGTTAAGGCTCATAGGACTGGGACGCTGATATGTGATGACAATAAAAAGTCGTGAGACACTGCATCGGGGTCAGAGGGGATGGCTTCAGTTTGAAGTTATATGGGTCCGAGGATAGCGGAAAGTCTAGCTTTGAGGAAAAAATAAATTGCAAATTTTCGTTGAGCTTCCTTTAGTAAAGGCGCACTGCGATCGTATTCTGCATCCACAATTGATTGGAGGACTAGGTGTTCAGATTGTTAGCAGTTTAGAGTAAATCCTGATTCTAATTTGTAAACGAAGAGTTGGATTTGTATTTCTGCAGATTGTTATTTTGCAACTAAAGTCTGGAACGCACAACAAGCCGGCGCAGCAGCGGTGCTTGTGGTAGACAACAGGGACGAGGATCTGATAACCATGAACTCGCCGGAGGAGGATCCTGTGGCATCAAAATACTTACCAAATATCTCCATTCCATCTGCTCTGATTATTAAGAAATTTGGGGATAAGTTGAAAACTGCCCTGAGCAACAAGGAGTTGGTGGCTATCAAATTAGATTGGCGAGAGGCAATGCCTCATCCAGACGAACGCGTGGAGTATGAGTTTTGGACCAATAGTAACGACGAGTGTGGCCCCAAATGTGACGATCAGGTTGAGTTCGTGCGAAACTTCAAGGGTGTCGCTCAGATTCTGGAGCGGGGAGGTTACACTCAATTCACCCCCCATTACATCACGTGGTTTTGCCCACAGGCAAGCTAACTTTCACCCTGTTTTGTTCGTTCAAAAACAAAATTGTTGAAATTCAAGACAATCATTCTAAATCGATTAACTCAGTCATTTGAAGTAGTTCTGTGATTGCGATTATTGTGCAGGCGTTTATTGAAAGCAAGCAATGCAAGGCACAGTGCATCAACAACGGTCGCTACTGTGCCCCTGATCCGGAGCTAGACTTCACGCGAGGGTATGATGGCAAGCAAGTTGTCACCGAGAACCTTCGACAACTCTGCGTATTCAAGGTCGCAAATGAGAGTCTACCCCGCCAGCCATGGAAATGGTGGGATTATGTCACAGATTTTCAGATACGCTGCAGGATGAAAGACAATAGATATGGCCCTGAATGTGCCGAGGAAGTCATGAAATCTCTTTGTAATACCTCAATCCTTGTCGACCATTTACATTAAATACCTCGCTAATATTTTACACCAGTTTGCTAACTGATGTTGTCATTTGGAATTGCTGGAAAACACCTTGAGGTCTTTTCTGAGCGAAAACTTGTCTTGTACTAAATTCTAGATTGTTGGTACAGCTATCGATGTGGACGCGGTGCGCAAGTGTATTGGCGACCCAAATGCGGATGCTGATAATGAAATTCTTAAGCACCAGCAAGACGTGCAGGTTGGCGAAGGCGTTCGGGGGGATGTAACCATTTTGCCTACGCTTGTCATCAACCAACGGCAATATCGAGGTACTTCAACTTGTTTTGCAGTATGTTAGGTTTTTATTCTGATTCCTCACGCTGCAGATTGCATGAGCCAGGGCTTAGGGGATCAGTCATCACATGCCTCTACCTTCAGTCGTCTTGAAATCGGTTGTGGTGTTTGCTTTTGGTGCTGTAGGCAAACTAGACAAGACTGCGGTGTTGAAGGCCATCTGCGCGGGGTACCTAGAAACCACAGACCCACCCATATGCTTAAGCGACACCATAGAGACTAACGAGTGTGCAGATAATAATGGCGGTTGTTGGGAGAGAGGTTCCATAACCGCGTGCAAGGTAGACTGCCGGTTACGCAGGCTCTTCTGGACTTACACTGTGATCTACTTGTCTTCAAGAGCGCTGTCATAGTGGCGTTTGTTTCAACCAATCTTTGTTCTGTAGTTCTATTTCGGCTTGCGACAGTCTTAAATGGATTGTTTCCTTTTTATAAAAATATCTATGGCTGCAGGATACATTCAGAGGTCGTGTTTGTGAATGCCCACTTGTACATGGAGTCCAATTCGAAGGTGACGGTTATACTCACTGTGAAGGTATACTCGCAATAGCACGACTCTTCTCATTCATGGCTTGAAGTGGTCCTTGATTTTCGTTGTTATCAGATTATGATTAGGGTGATAATGTGAGCTTTGTTGGATTAGCCCATGGACTGGGGCGCTGCAAAGTACAGAATGGCGGATGTTGGGAAGAAACACGACTTGGAGTTTATCATTCGGCTTGCAGTGTGAGTATCTTGGCATTGAGTATGAAACTTTCGTTCCTAGTATCCACTTCATCATTTTAAGGACTGACGTATTTATATCGCAGTTATGAAATACATGAATGTGTTGAAATTGCAACTGTGGAGGTTTTCCAGGATTATCATCACCATGGGTGTCATTGTCCACTGGGCTTTGAAGGAAATGCATCGAAGGTTGAAGGGGGTTGCGTAGGTATGATTTCTGAAATTAAGGAAATTTAACCACCCTTCGAGTGCATAAATGCAAGTGTATGCATCAGCCTTTGCTCCTAAATGGTTGCTAGATATCTTCATGTAATCATTTTCAGTCAAGAATGTCAAGGACCTCATAAGGGAAAGAACTCGGTTTCCTAAATCAAGATGTTCATTTGTGGTTTGTTCTTCACAATTGTGGTTTGTTCAGATATCGATGAATGCGCCAGAAAATTGAAGTGCCAGTGTCCTGATTGTAAATGCACCAATACTTGGGGTTCATACGAGTGTGAATGCGCTAACGATCTTCTGTACTTCCACGAGCATGACACATGCATAAGTGAGTGAACTGCTTCTTACTGGTCAACTTCGGACTTGATTGTTTTATGTTTCTGTGTGGTATCAATGGAGCTTAACCACAAATAAATTGTAGGAAATATATTTATAATATCCAGATCATATTCCACCATATCTTACATTTTAAATATCTGCAGATCGGAAGAGTGGGCAATCCAAGGCGGCAGGGTGGGTAGTTTCCCTTATTGTGCTCGCTGGTCTGTCAGTTCTTGGACTTGGCAGTTACGTTGTCTACAAGTATCGCCTTCGGGTAATTATTCTCACTTTCTTGTTTCTATCAAAGGTATTGGATACAGCAAAGGTTATTGTTCATGTTATTTTATTCTTATCTTCTACCAATTAGGACGAACTGAGGGCATCGGTGGACTGGTGCAGACGTACATGGATTCGGAGATTCGAGCGATCATGGCTCAATACATGCCGTTGGATAGTCAAGGCGAAGTTCAGAACCACTCTCACAATGGGGTGAGGGAGCCATGACGCTGTGGAAGTCAATGTGGTTCGTTACTCAAATTATGTGGTACCTGACGGCTGTTCAATATTTGGGATTCAAGAAGAAAGTGCTTCTACCCCATTGATTCATGAAGCCATGTGTTCCTGAAATTAACTAACAGTGTAAGAAGACTTTATGTAAAGAAAGTAGCCAGGAATATAATAGGATGTTCATGTGTACATTGATGAGAAGCGGGGAGTGCACCTTTTTTTTTCCATGGTGCAAAACCGAATACAATCCTGCTGATTGCAACGAGTGGGTTCCTTGCAACATACGTAGATACCAGTGTTACACTGTGATTAAAACTGTCCACAAGGACGATCTTACAGTATTTAAGATCTTCGGTTACAGCTTGTTGTGCATGTCTATGATACTCTTAGGCGTCTGCATTCAGTATGCTTTTGCGGTTTGACATGCCGCTATGAATCTCATGTATTCCCTGCAATATTCCCGAAAATCTCAAATTCCTTGAATACACCCTCTAGGGCTCGCAGCTTTACACAAGTGAGGTTTAAGTGCTGTCTCCTATACAGAATTGCTAGCCAGAAAAATATTTGTTGAGGCTGTGAGGGGTTTTGTTGTTGCGTATGAGCTGTAGCCAAAAATCCAGTTCCACTCTTGAACATAAAAAGCTACCAGCAACCTGAGCTAGATCGTTTTCATGGAAGTGGAGCTCAACCCTGACACCGAACTCCTCTCCTGTATAATATCTGATGATATGTTTACAGAGCCTCTACATGCTGACATGCTCCAGTGATTCCCTTACCCACCCTTCATATCGGTTATCCTAAAAGCACAGCCTCAGGAAGTAGAATATGAACAAAGAGTAGCCTCACAAGGAAATGTTTAAGTATGATGAAATCTATTGGGATGTGATAGCGTGGTTAGTATTTTAGTGTTATAAATTTAAATGTTGTACAACGATCATGATTTTCAATAATAAAAATAAATTTTAATTTTTTTAAAGTTCTTTGACAAGACTCCCTCATCACAAAACAATTACAGTACATGGCATTCCTATTTTACTTTGCCAAAGTAGAAATGTCATATTTGGATGGCTTCTTTTCAAATATCATTCAAATCTAATGATTTTTTTAAAATATTTTTTAGATCACAAAACACCCCTTTCAGAATCTCCCAAATATTTTAGTAGATGTTTTAAAAAATTGAAGAAAATTTTGGATAACCATCACAAATGGTGTTAAAATTTTAATGTGGGAATAAATTACAAACTTCCATTAAATAGATAATAGGATTTCATTGCAAGTAATTATTATGATATCTTATAATAAATATTATTTATATTATAATATAACAAGTCTTTAGAATTGACTCTTATGTTCGGCTATTGAGAAAGAATAAGAAACTCTTTATTAGCTTTATTGTACTAAATAATAAAAAAATGAGAATAATATTGACAGGAGAAATGCAGAGTTAAAAGTTTGAGATTTAAAATAAATAAATAAACACAAAATCATTTATGAACCATTAAACAGGGTTAAGGGTTTAAGAAAATGTTCTGGTGCAAGGAGTTACCTAAATTTTCAGTTGGTCCAGTATCAGGTACCAGCTGGGTATCTATTCTGCTACACTATGGCCGTAGTATTCCTAGAAAAGATAAACTTTATCTGACATATTGTAAACCATTGGCAACACCTGGCAATAATTAAACCAGAAATCTAAATTAACCTGCAGTATTCTGGGTGACATCTCCCTAAGCTAGCGAATTCGGGTCAGCATGTCTAAAGAGAAAAAAAGAGAATAGTCATCCCTGAAAAGGTTATAGCAACTCAAATCCAGCACTGCTTTTGAGTTGGACAAATAGTATACACAAAAATCTGGAATTATGGCTTGCTGAGCTCAGTTTTCTGGCTATTGCTTGGGCCTACCTAACCAGATGTAATACGGAACTTGCAGTATCGGCACATATGGAATGTATCCAAGGTGATTCTCTTCATAAACTGGAAACATCACCACAAAAAAGCCGTTAGCAATTGGTAGGCTGCTCAATATAACCTTCAAATGCTTGCACTAACTAACACTGCAGAAACTCACACTCAACCATATTGTGAGTCATTAACAACCCCTCAAAATGGATTCAAAATAGATTGTAAGCATGAAACGGTGAAGTAATCTACAGATCAATTTAAACGCTTCTATTAAAAAGCGTTCAACCCAATTTTTGGATGAGAATTTAACCAGTTTCAAACTTGTAGTCCATGTATTGCCTCCGCTCTGGACCTAGGTCAATATTGTCGAGGTCGAAAATAGATCTCCAGAACCACCGTGTGAGATAGCCATGTTGACGTTCAGTCTTGTCGTGTTTCAATGAAGTGAAAAAATCAGATACACCCAAGATACCCACCGCAGGGTCTAGATAGCGTGATGCTTTGTCAAGAGCATTCAGGAATGGAGGAATCACTGGTTGCATGAAGCAGCACCATTGCAACCAATTAGGGGAAAATCAGAAAAAGAATCGCACTGAACACTCTCGTTTCAGAACATTGACAGATCCGTGTCAATCAATTTTCAACCAGCTCTCCCAAATTTATAGAAAGCTCCTCCTTTAGTTACTTGGACGAAGCAGAACACTTAAATACAATAAAAATAAAAATAAATTAAAGAGAAAAAACTTCTAGGTACACGTCCTTGAACAAGAAATAAAAAGTTTACACAGTTTAGAGACAAATTACTAGATAGAGAGTACGAAAAGGTGACGAGCGTTGCGGGAGATGCTTCCGGTTCGTAGTCACATACATCAGCCTCCACTACCTCCACGTTGGTCCATCCATACTTGGCCACCTTCTCTCGGGCAACATCACAGAGTGGACCACAGATATCTACCACATAGACCTTTTTGAACAACGACAAATCACAAATACTGGCCATAGTTTCTACATTCTGCCCTGTTCCTCCTCCCAAGTCCACCCATACGAGGTCCTTACGACCTTGCAATTTGTGCATCTCTCGTGCACATGCTCGAAGCATTCCTATTCTACCGTGTAGAAATCGGGCTCTGAAATGGTCATCTGGATAATAACCAGTGGTTAGCTCTTGCACAACTAGAGAAACACCGGAAAACCGCACAGCAAGCAACAAAACTGATTTACTGCCAATATATTCGTTTTCGCAGCAAATACTTTTAGTCACACGGTCAGCCATTGCGCAATCCCTCACATCGGCATCCACTCTCCGATTGAAAATTTATGGTGCAAACCAAGTACTACCCAATCTTCAACGATTGTGCAAATGTGCTTTGCATGGCTACGAAATTGAGCAGTGCGGTTTGAATGATTGATAGAAGATATTGAACACTCTTAGTGTTGTGAAGGCTACTACCGCGAGACAAAAAGTGTAGACGGAAGATAATCATGAGCTAATAAACATATCACTTCTCCGATAAAATCAGCTACATTTTGTTTTTAGACAGCTCCAAGAACTCCACTGAACACAAAATCCTATAAATATACAAGAAGATGGTTCAGCGGAGGCGTACAAACATGCGCCTGAGGGCCATAGAAGCTTTCGAGACGCTCCTTGTGACTGGAGCCGGTGATTTTCCCGAACCATATAGATTTGAGAACTTGCACGTCATTGCACAAATTTCTAACGAGCTCCATCTCTGCAAGATAAAAAAATCCCATCACACACAGGCACATCGACATGCATTGCAAGCCAGGGAACAGGATAAAATTCGGTCGAAAGTGAACCAAAAGCTAGCATATGACACCATCGCTCCGATCTAGGGATCTTCTCCAAAAATTCAGCAAGACAGTTTCCATACGCCCGCTTCGAAATGGCCACAGACACACCAAAACCACCCACCTCAAAACGGCAGCAAACGTCTAACGATGGACGCGAAAAGCTCTACACGGAATCAACGCCACACACAACTAAGGAAGCTGCAACGCAGCAAGATCTAGGTGAGGCAGGTGGAATCAAAACCCACAATCATGTGAAGGAGAAGAGCCATAACACTTGTCGAGCTGGGATAGCAGGGCTCTTGTGAGCGACAACTTCGGATTTCTGACGACATCGCCACAAGCATATTGGTACATTCCCTTCTACTAAATTAGGTGGGCATGTAACCATGGGCGTTGTGAAGGTTCTTGCACTGGTTACAGCAAATTTCTATGTAGAGGTGGCAACAAACGCCGATGATTCAATGTTCAAGTGTTTGCAATCCGAGCACCCACAAGCCAAAATCGCATATTTTACTCGTGGTCAGTGTTGTCGGCGCGTGGTGCTCATCCTCGCATCCCCAGGTCATCAAACATGGAGCCAGATCCCAATTCCTAAGAGTGCTTCTCATCCAAGCCCTAATTTTGTGCAGCGCTAAAATTGTTTTTGGTAAATGTTTATAAGGCTTCGACCACATTTGCTTGTTGGTTTGAGCGTAGAAATTTGTTTGTTTCCTCATTTGTTTCTCATAAGAAAGTTGTTTTTTATTCATATATATATTACACACACAATGAAGGGATTGGATAAGAGTGGGTTGCGAACAATTGGAGAAAAAATTTAACTTGTAAAAATGAAGAATAATTGGCTAGAAGCCTGATCTTAGCTCTAAACATCAAAATTTATCCTTTGGTTGAACTTTTGTCCAAATATTAGAGTTGAGGCATGTGCAATGTATTATTTAGTTGTGTAGGTCCATCTTCTTCAGATTGAGAGAGCACACCATATGATTCTCTTGTATAATTTGTACCACAAGATGAACATCCTCATCAACATCCATACATTTAGAGCTTAGGCAGCCCATTGTTGCTCAAGGTTAAGGAAGAAAAAAATACTTATTTTAGAATGCACTCTGAATTTATGGTGAGGATTACTAGCTATATGTATTATACATGCTGTGTGAAGCATTTTATACAGTGTCCAATTTTAATTATCAAAAATGTTTGGCACTTTATTTAATATCACCAACTACTTTTGTATGTTTTTATACACTACAAGTAGTATTTTTACACATATTTAACATTCGGGTAATCTAGCCTAATCATCATAGAGTTGTATTCAAGGTTTATAATCATAATATCAATAATACTAACTCACACAATTTTTTAAAGATAATAATAATAATAATAATAATAATTCTTTTATCAAATTAATATTCAACACAATGCATAGATTAAACTAAAACTTGGTCATAACATAAAGTATCAAATATGAATTTCACATAGTAAAAATTAGATAATTGATTTAACATACCAGTTCAATTATACAATAAAATGATAAAACAAAAATAAAACAAAGGAATGTAGAACAATGTTTTGTATTTAATATTTCTCTCATATAGCCAAATAAAGCTTTGAATAATATTTCTAAGAAAAGAATAGGCCCTAATATCTCTATTATAATAATACCACACATAATATTTATGAGAATTAGATTAAATAATCAGATTAGCCAAATGTTTTTAGCTTAAAATCAAATTACTACTATGATTACACAAAAAAAATCTTCAAGAAAATTTTAAAAATTAAAAAATTACCAATTATAATACTTATTAGAATTTAGAAGCTTTTATAAGTTATAAATGTCTTATTAGAAAAAACAATATTAAAATGGAGTCTTAATAAGTCTTGGAGTTAATTATCTTAGTTGGTTTTGTATTTTTTGTTTATTATTGAATATTAATATTTAATTATTAAAACTACTATCTATGCTGGCTTTCTATCTATATGTATTACTTATAAAAAGAACCTATTAATATTAATTAGTAGTTAGAAAAAGCACAAAAAAGAATCTCATGTATTTTTGTTATTTAAATAAAAATATGATTTCAACTTGATTTTATTATTGTAAAATAGCATAAGGTAGAAAAAAGTAGTTTAAATTTTATAATATAATTATAGAAATACTATAGAAAATTTTAGAATTTATGTAGAATTTATATAAAAGTTAATTAAGAATTTTTAGAATAATTTTAAAGATTTTGGTAAAATAATTTTTACTACTTTGGGAGGTCATTATGAAGCAATGAAGCAAGATTTGAAGGCTCTCCAAAGGTTACATGGCTAATTGGATGTCTTTTAATACCATAGCAATGTCAAAAATGCAGAAATAATAGTTTTAGTAGTAGAAAATAGAAAGTCCAGTAATTAATGTTGTCGATGTAGAAAAGGAAGTGTACAAGTTCCACATGAATTGTAACTCATTGAATGTAGATAGGAGGATACAATTAAGGTCTTAATGCCTTTCTAAAAACATCCATATATACTATATGTGATCCTTGATCACTTAAGCAAGTTATCCTTGAGGTAAAACTTATTTATTTAGATTCTCTATTATTTACTTTTTATCTCTAAACCTTTATTACATATTCATAGTAACTTAAATTTAAATGTTTTTTGTGTGAATAAAAAAAAAAAAAATCACTTATCTATTTTATTCTTTTGTTTTTTTAATCTTTTATTCTTATTTTTTATGGGGTGAAATCTAATAAACAAACTATGACTAGTTTTGTAGTGTATAATTGCCTACTTGTGATTCTTTCTCTTATTTTGTATTATTTGTCTTTGCTCTTATAATTACTTAAAAAATATATCTTATTATTTATCTTCTATATATCAAAAAAATGTACCAAAATCTAATATAAGGCATGCATTCAAGTTAAATATAAATAACTAGTTAATCATAATTTAGATCCAAAATAAAAGAGAAAATTATTTCAAAGGTATGTTTTAAAACATTTCCAAAATCATTAACTTAAAATCAAACTTTGTAGATGGCTTGCAAATATTAAGATTTTATATTATTTTTAGCATTAATAGTCTTATTTATAATTTTTAATATAATTCAAAGACATATTGCTTGTACATAAAAGTACTTCTAAACAATTATAATAAAAAAAAGATGAAATATTATTATTCTTTTGTGATAAAACTTATTAATGTAGAAACAAATGATGTCATGTGTTTGAACTTTAATTTGCTAAAAAAAATAACTTGATGATTTAAAAAAGAATATCAATGAATTCTATATATTAAACTTATATTCTATTCTTTTGGATACTCTTAAAATCTTTAGTTTTCAAAAAAAAAAAAATGTAATTAAAGCAAAAAATAATGATCTATAAGGAATTATGGATTTATCTCTTAAATTTTTGCTTGTCTTATTCAAATATTTAAATATCTTTATAAGCTAATAATTACCTTTTTATGTTCTAATAAGTTCACTCTTTTCTATGATTATCATTAATATAATAAGATTAATATATATATATATATATATATAATGCAATTTGGTTTTTATATATATATATATATATATATATTTAGTCAAGGTCTTATTTTATAATGAAGGGTGCTTAGAAGCAGGGATAATGATTTGAATAATTTTATATCACTTTAAGAAATAATAAATTATCAATAATATAACAAAGTGCTAATTAGTTACATAAGCACTGATATAAGAAAATAATGCTACTTTATTTGTATGTCAACATTTTGTTGATTGATTTTCATTCATTGAAAAACCTAATTATTTGTTATTATCATTATTGTATTTGAAATTATTTTTTGGAGATAATAGTAAAAGAATCTCAATAAATAAAAAATAATAACAATAAGTATCATAAAAATATGATGATAGCAAATATAATTTCACTTTGAGTAAAACCACATTTCATTTCTTTATCTATTTCTTGAATCCATTTCAATCTTGTGTCTTTGAACTATGCTGATGTTTTTAACGCAAACACACACACATATATATCTATATATATATATATATATATATATATAAACATTTATACACACAAACACTTATTTTGGTTTTCTGAGTATTATTCATATGCAAACACTATTTTACTTTTTGAATTATCATTGTTATTATTATCAACCTAGGTCTAAAATTTGTGCATCATGCTCTTAGAAATTCTTGATTTCAAACTTGTTGTGTGATCTTTCTTCCTCAACTTCATTCCACTTTCATTGATTGGGCATATTGCACATTAAAGTCCAAACCTAGAAATTAGTAGCCAACAAAGAAATGCACAAACTTATCATAATAAAAAGAAATAATTTAGGGACGTTTATTACCACGACGGCACGTGCTGGATTTCGCAAGAAGCAAGAAGCAGGCGGCGAGCACATGGTTCAAGAAAGATGGACGAACAGAATATTCATCGACGAACGTCTACATCGAACGGCATGGATGCCGGCAGCCAGCCATTGGTCCAAGCGAAGCCACATCAGCACAATTGACGTAATAGGTGCCACGGTGGCTATACCGTCCAACCTGCCGTTCCAGACTGCAACGTTGCCTCCGCGTCCGATCCTCATGCAAGTTCCTAGAGCCCGTCTACCAAACCCCGAAACTTCCTACAATTGATCTGCACGCCATCGCTCGTGACCCCCTACTTCAATCTCTCCTTCAGCAAGTTTCTCCACGTTGGCCTCGCTTACTTCTTCACACCTTGTGCGCAGCATGAACTCGGCCGATGGAGTCCTTTGATGCGGAGATTGATTCTGTTTTGGACAGTCTGCCTTTCTCCGCACCCTGCTCTAATCTCTCCGATTCTTTGTTTTTGAGCGAGGAGATCGATACCATCGACGAGCAGTGGTGGCAACAGCTTACTCTACCTTCTCCGAAACACGAGGGAGGGTTAGAGGATCCAGAAGAGGGGGCTTTCCTCGCTGATGAGAACACCGGTTGTGGTGCTATCTCCTCTTCCTGCTCTTCGCCAAATGTTACCTCTACTTCACAACCCGATGTTGCCGCTGCTCCCTCATCTTCGCTTACCAAGCGGAGTGCTGATTCCAGCCCTGAATTCGAACAAGATGATCCTAAACGGCTCCGGAGGTGCCTTTCCTTTCTCTTTTTGTGTTGTTTTTATTGGTTTTTCTCTACGGTAATCTTTGATGTTGAAACGCGACGTAAGTTTTGCCATGACAGATCTTCAGTCTGAATTTTTGGTGAAGAGCTTTGTGTAGCGCCCACTAATTGAGACGTGTTTATGTGCTCAGGTTAGAGAAGAACAGGGAAGCCGCCTCCCAGTCACGAGCTCGTAAGAAATCCTACATGAAGGATCTTGAAGTCAAATGCCGGATGCTAGAAGCGCACGTAGCACACCTTCAACGAGTCATGACAATGACGTCAATGGAGAATGCGGCGCTTAAGGATGAGCTTGTCCGCGTGAAGAAACCCAAGGATAGTGTCAAGACCGGTGTCGCAGAGCCTGCAGTGCTTGAAAGCAGTAAGTTCTTCCTCTATGTCTATCTTTTCTTGCCTTTCAGGTTCCGTTGGGTTGGTTTGAATTGGACAGAGCCCGGCTGATTACTCACAGGATTTAATTTTTAATAGATTTGCGGAGCTGTTGAAAATGTCGTAGTCTATCATTCTGCCTGAATCTCTTAGCACATCTGCTCACATCATTTTGGTGTTTTGTTTCAGACTCCCTGCCGTCGGAGTTCCTGCGCCACCTTTCATGCCATTACCCTTTCCCCCAGCAGGTTCCTTCCCCTACCGCTGGCCACTTCCAAAAGTTTCTTCTCACCCTGCTGCAGCTACTAATGCTAGCAGCAGTAAGCGGGTTAAGAGGTCCTCAAAATAGTCTACCCCAGCCAATTCGCGAGGTAGTGTCTTCCATTCCAATGAGTATGGAGCTCTACCGTGCAATTGAAGGTGGTATTCTGGGGAAAACGCACCTTCGGAGGAAGAAGACCCATCTTCAATACGACTCCAATTTTAGATGGCGTGGTCGTTCGTCGGAACGGAGACCATCAAGAAGGAAATGTCGGAGGGTTAAGCGTCTTCGCTCTTCGCAGATACTTTAGAATTTTTGAGTAGCACATTTTTTTAGCAGTGTACATGTACAGCATACAGATGCCCGAGACATCAATATTTTTCTTTTCGAGTATTTTAATAAGTTCTTTTCGAATTTCTTGTGCACCTTGGATTTGGAGCATTCTCTGTTGGTGTGCGTAGGCAACTCGATTCTTTTAACACTTGGCCTTTGTATTGACTAGATCTCCGGACATGCTTTCCTTCATACGACCTGGTCACACATTATCTCATTCTTTCCTTCGCGTATGTGAACTGTCACTATTTACACGAGTAGATGTTGTGAAAATGGATAGTGATTAGCATGTGTATTGCCATTCCATCTCACCTGCTTCTCATGAGAAAAGGTTCTCATGACCCAACCTGATTTGTTCCCATTGGGGCCCACACTTACCTCCTTTACTATTTTCTTACGCTTCGGCATGTTGTTCACAATTTCGGCTGAGATGAATCTGAGCACAGTCTTCGAAGGAAAACAGGAAGATAACTCTCCTCGAGATGTACAAGTTAGAAAGTGGAAGACCATCATCGTAATACCTTTTGTAAAGTCAAATGAACGCGTTTATGGTCGGAGCAAGCTGGAGAGGCGGCTGAGTGAGTGATCCGAAGCATCATTTGGTGGGGTTGACATGAGTGAGTTGACTATGGTGACGAAGATTGCAGACTTTAGTGCGAATTTGACAATCGGGTAGTGGAGTCTCTAAGGAAACAATTGCCACCAGCTGACTTGGATGTGTCGTTAGCATAAAGTCCCTCAATTCTTCGATTGTGTCTATTTACAGAAAACAAACATTTATGGAATCTTGTGACTTCAAGGTTTGAGACTAAAAGATTAAACGCCCAAGATTAAAAAGGTTTTTTTTTTTTAATTTAAGAACAGTTAGAAGAAATGATCAAAATCCCTACTTAAAATATCAAAGGATGATTTCTTTGCTTGGATACATTAAAGACTATTATAATCAAATAGCTCAAAATCAAGTCAATTATAAAAACACATCTTCATTTTTTTATAAAATAGACTAAGAAATCTTACCACAAGAGAGTATGTAGAAAAAAGAACCTTGTCCCAAAACATTAATATAACTTAATTATTGCATTTCAACATTTAATTGAAGAAACTAATAGCAAAATTACCTTTGTATAAAGATAATTAAAAAAATACTATTTATTTTCAAAAAAGAAATATTTGTATGGTAAGCTCAAATAATACAAAAGAGATTGAAAATTTGATAAAAAAGCTAGACAAGTCACAAAATAGATAGAAAACTAAGATAAGAGAGTTAAAAATAATATATAATAATAATACACAATAAATATGCAAATACTTATACAATTTGTAAACATCTCTGTTATCATCTTTTGATAATATTTTATAAAATATTGACAATTTAAAGATGTTAGAATTTTTTTGCTTATATTTACAAGCTATAAATTCAAATAAATGGTTAAATCATAAATTTTAATATAATATTTATCTTTATTTAATTAACAATATTAGATATTTTGAAGGATAAGAATTTAAAGAATCCAATTAAATAAGTGAGATGTGTTTCAAAGAAAAATAACATAAAAGAAATAAAAAATTATGTTTATTTAAAAAAAATACTTTAATGCCTATTGTTAAAAACAAGAAAGATATATACTCTTGAAACCAAATTAGAAGCAAGAACAAAATTGGAAAGAATTATGTAGTCTTCACTCTTGCCTCTATATATACTATCTAACTAGAAGTTGTATAATGATACTCTACATAACCTCCAACATATATCCAACTTATGAAACACATATTTAACATATAAGGCAAGTTTCCCATGTATGCACTACATGACCAACTTATGTTACAAGTGACCAATTTGTTTATTAAGTTTTTAACCTACTAATCACTTATAGACTTAAATAAAGTCATATTTGTGTCTATGAAGCTTTTAGGAAGTATATCTATAAGATAATATAATTTATTTATTTATATTTATTTCTATCAAATTCTTTTTATCTAAATAATTACTTATATCAATTATGTCCGTGACATTATTCTTTATTCAATGCAAAAGTTCCACAATAAGTGACAATTACATATTGAAGAAGTCTAAGATGTAACAAATTATATTTGATATATACTATTATCTTTGCTTCTTTTGAAGATAGTTAGTAGGTCATCTTAGCCATTGATAGTATTCTATATTAAGGCCAAAAGACCATCTTATTATTTAATTATTGTTGAGTATTTTTTTAACTTTCTTCATAAAAAACATTTAAAATGCTATTAAGAATGATTCTTACTTCTAATAATATCATCAAATATTAGAAGTCTTTTCTAAGGTTTTGATATCAAATACATTATATTTAACTATGTATTTGAAGTATAATATGTTGATCTTGAGGATCTTTATTTTTATTAAGTTTTTTTGAATGCTATAATAATTTCAATGCTTTGTCCAATAATTCAACAAATGATAGCTTTTGAGTTGAATCTATCAGTTTTTTTATTCTCTTTCTCTATAACATTATAAATACAAAAAATTACAAATAAAGATAAAAGATAGAATATTATTTTTATTAAACTTGCTTTGCACCAATGTACAAGATATTATTACCTATTTTAGTGCCTCCTTGATCTAAGATCTCTTTTATTTCAAACTTATTATAGTTGTTCACTTCTATTTGAGTAATCAATATTTGTTTTTTTGTTTTTTTTTTTTTTTTTACAACTTCATTGCTTTGTATGGCTTAAGAAAAGATACATTAAATATAAGATGGATTTTTATAGAAATTAATATGGATAATTCATATGAAATTAGATTGATATATTTACAAATAAGAAATAATCTAAGTTTAGAATCATCTAAGTTATCAAAAAGGCAAGTAATCTTGATATTATAATGAAGTAACTATATGTTGTTACTAATGTATAATAAAAGTTGTATCTTGCAATAAGCAATTGATTGATCTTTGTTGTTCTTGCAATCTCTTTAAATTTGCCTCTATCAAGGATATGAACTTTAAAGAATTTAAACGTTAATACAATCTTGTGTTATTCAAAAGACTAAAAAAACATTCAAAGATGATATAATATTAAACTAAAATAACTATTATCAAAGACAAGAAGACTAAAAAGTCTTGAAATAAAACTAAAGACTAGAAAGGTATTAAGAAGAGTGAAGAAGGCTTTATTCTTGCCTCCATATATACTCTCTAATTAGAAGCTATGTGACAATGTTCAATAAGACCTTGTCAAGGACAAGAACTCGATGAAAAAGTAATTCAGACAAGTGAGCCATCACTCAAAGAAAGGTAATAAAATATAAATAAATAAGTATGTATATTGAAAGAGAAACTGGAATGGCTATTGCCAAAAGACAAGAAAACTAGAGACCCTTGAAACAAGACTAGAAGCAAGAAAGGAGTTGACAAGAGTGAAGAAGGCTTCACTCTTATCTCTATATATACTATCTAACTAGGGGCTACATGGCGACGTTCTATAGGACCTCCAATATGTGTTGACTTTGTAGGACACATGCCTTGACTTATAAGGCAAGTTTTTCTACGTGTGTACCACATTATTAGCTTGGTCTTCAAGCTAACAACATGTGTGGCACATGGCCAACTTATTGACCACGTTCCTAATCCAAAAAGTCAATTAAAGACACATATAAAGTCAAAGCAATATCTATGAAGCTTCTCGAAAGCTTCCATATCAAATACTTTAGAATTAACTTACTTTTATCTACTTTTACTAACTTCTACCTATTTATATATGTAATTAATGGTTTACATGAGAATATCCGTGACATTACCCTCCCTTCTAGGGATGAGTTCTACGAGGAGTGGTAATCATGTATTGAAGAAATCTATAATGCAAAAAATTATATTTGCCACATACTGTGATCTTTGTTCTCTTTAAAGATGATTGATAGGGCCTCTCCACCATCAGTAGTGTCCCATACCAGGGCGCGAAGACCACTCAGTTATTTGATCATTATTGAGGCCTTCATAACTTCCTTCGAATAGAATATTTGGAACACCATCAGGAATTGTTTCTACCTCTAGTAAAATCACCAAACATCAGGAGTTCCTTCCCAAGTCGTGATACCAAACGCATTGTATCTCGCTATCTATTTGAGGAAGAATATAACGTTCTTGAAGATCTTCATCTCGATTGCATCGTCTTGAAGGTAATGACAATCGTAATATCTCATCCAACAGGTCAGCAAATTAAGGCTCTTCAGTAGAATCCGCTGGTTGTTGATTCTCCATCTCTCAAGCATCACAACTACAAAGAAGCTATAAACAAGGATTGAAAATAAAATGTTATCTTGCTTAGATGTTGTTTTTTAATATAAAGAAGATTTTCATCTTGATTTTGATAGATTTTGTCGTTGAAAAGCCTCCACACCTTTGCTGCATTTACAAGATTCTTTCTTGGCTCCCATGTGCGTTTACTAATATCATATCTCCGCCAATGGACAAGATATTCCAATTTATTTTGGCACCGCCTAGAATCTAAGACTTCTTTTATTTCAAACTCTTGATTATTCTTTACTTCTATAGGAGGAGGTGGAACTTGTTGTCTTCTAGGTATGTCTATTGTCATACATGATTCAAGAAGAGACACATGGAATACTGGATGGATTTTTATTAACTCTAGTAGATGTAAACGATATGCGACTGGATTGATTTGTGTAGAAATAGAAAGTGGTCCCAACATTCGATAGTCCAACTTGTCACAAGGACGAGTAGTCTTGATATTGTGAGGAAGTAGCCATACCTTATCACACAAGTAGAATAGTGGTTGTTCCTTTCGATAGACATCCGCATTGACCATTTGTTGTTCTTGAGCTTCTTTTGATATCGCCTTCATCGTTGTATGTAGCTCTGACAAATGAATTGCCAAATCTTGCACAACAGGATTATCAATTTTTGAAAAGTCAAAAATATCAAGTCGTGGATGATAACCATAATTAGTAAAGAAAGGTGTTTGTTTTGTAGAAGAATGTACCGTGTAATTATAAGCAAACTCTTCCAATGGCAAAAGAGTTGTCCAATCATCTTGTTGGTATTTAATGGTATAACTTAAATATTGCTCTA